GCAATAAAATCCAGTACATGACCGTGCTCTGAGCACCCCCGCCACACACACACACACACACACGGGGCGCTTGCTTCTCCTCGGTGCTCTCACACAGCTCAGGCGTGCTCTGGTCATGCACTTAGCCTGTCGCAGGGAAATTGTCTGTACATTGATCTCTCTCAGCAAACTGGGGGTTCCAGGACAGCAGAGACCACCTTCTGAAGGTTTCTTTCACCTTTCTGTCCTCAGAGCCCAACAGACACTTGGAGAATGCTGAGCCAGATCCCCAGTGTCGGAAGAAAATTAGCTGAGCTCCATGACCATCAGCAAGCCGAGGCTCCCTGGCCAGCAGCCTCTTTCCTATAAAGTTATAAAAGCCATTATGCATTCGCATGATTCCAGACTTAGCAATGCTACAGTAGAGGTGGCTGTTTCCCAATTTTTTAAGCACAGATAAAGAGCATCTGACTTCTAGTATCTTCTTCCAACTCACTGTGTCATTCTGGGCGTGCCATGGGACGTCTCAGAGCCACCCTTTCCTCGTTTGCAGATGAATTATTTGGACTCACTGGATGATTTACAGGGCCATTTAATTTCCAGCCTGTGATACTTCTATGAGGCCCAGACTAGAGAACGCTTATATTTAAAAGAGAGGAGGAAAAAGTGCTAAGGAAAGGAGTTGACACCACGTTCATGAAAGTTAACCGTCTGTGCCATTTACTTAGAATAGCCTCTTTAGCTAATGAAGAAGAAAAACAAAAAAAAACCAAAATAATTATGAAAATAATATGAAAATATAGGACTGCATTTGTAAGAACATTATACTTCTTTTTTTAAATGGGGTTAAAACATTCTTTACTCTAGTCATTCATTATCTGGTTTTTCAGATACAGCCAAAAGTGCAGAAGAATTCGGAGCTTTAAAAGAAGGCTAAGGAATCAGTAGAGTGAGGTGACGGCTGCGGAAGGGACGGCGCTGCTGTGTTTATCCGAAGGCTCTGCCGTCTAGCCCATCTCTGCCTGGAAATGAAAGTAATCAGCCTCGGTGCGTGAAACAATCAGCCACGGCTTCAGAGTGGTGCCCTTCAAAAAGGTCACAGAGGGCTGGCCCAGGGGCAACAGGAATTTAGGCAAGCTGTTGTGCGTGTCATTTGCATATGAAAATTCGTTTCTCTGTAAATGCAAATTGTTCTTCAGATTAACATGTTGTGTCCTCATTAGGTAGCAAACATTTCCATCTTAAGCCTACAAAGGTGCCGGAGTTGGCTTGCCTTGCATCACACGACAGCATCACTACCTCTGTTTGTACTGATGCCAATTAGGAGTGCTACGTCTTAGAAGAGCACAAGAGATCACGCCCGCTGTTCGTATACGTAGTAACAATAATGCCGAGAAGCTCTGGCAAATCTTGTTAACTTCAAAGGCCATTAGCAGGAAAGTACCCCTGGGTTGTAAATGGCTGTGTTCTTGGGCAAGTGAAGTATCAGCACGTCTAGAACACTTTGCTCTCTTTCCTGAAGCCTGCTCCTGGCTTACGGTGTGAATCTTAAAAAGGATCTGCGTGCTGTAAAGAAACGCATGCAATTGCATCATTTTCTTTTTTTATAACTTAATTTTTCATTGCAGTATAGTTGATTTACACTGTTCTGTCCATTTCATGTGTACAGCAAAGTGATTCAGATATACATATATTATTTTTCGAATTCTTTTCCATCATGGTTTATTATAGGATATTGAATATAGTTCCCTCTGCTATACAGTAGGATCTTGGGTTTTTTTAATTTTATTTTTTATTGAAGTGTAGTTGATTTACAGTGTTAGTTTCAGGTGTACAGCAAAGTGATTCAGTTATACGTATGTATTTTTTCAGATTCTTTTCCACTATATGTTATTACAAGAAATTGAGTATAGTTCCTTGTACTATACAGTAGGTCCTTGTTTCTTATCTATTTTATATACAATAATGTGTTAATCCCAAACTCCTAATTTATCCCTCCCCGACCCTTGCCCGTTTGGTAACTATAGTTTGTTTTCTATATCTGTGAGTCTGTTTGGCTTGAAATCTTTTTATGGAAGATTTCATGATAGGTTTTTATAAAAGCGATACATATCCTGCAAAACTCAAAGTTATGTATCAGATTGTGATGTATATCCCTTGAGGAGGAACTAGGACTCAGTTTTATCCTTGAACTATTGTTTCTTGACTGCTTTTCCTTTGTTCCTGCCTTCTCTTATCTCCCTTAAGATCATTAATTACTAGACCTACTAAAAGGCAAGCACTGTGGCCCGGCTGGGATCACAAAATGGCTTAGGCTAAAAATGGCTTCTCCTACGTCACGAGAGCCGTGCCTGGTTCTCTTTCTCAGGCACCCCACCGCACCATCTGCTTACAATTCCAAGGGGGAAAAAAAAAGGCTGATTCCCAGGATGAACTGAGCCCATACCTCTAAACATTCCTCCTTCCGCATGCTGACTCATGGCTCTGGAAGGATGCCTTGAAAATGAGCTCTCTGTTCCTAGACGTATTCAAGGGAAGGCTGAAGGATAACTGGCAGGGTGGCCAATAAAGGATCCATGCACCAGTTGGACTACATGGCTTCGAACAATGGTGGCTCTGAATTTCTCTGTAAGAGGCTCTTAGGCACAAATCCAATTTGAAAGGTCTGTTGGAGAGTGAGTGAGGCTTTCATAATTGTCTTGAGGCTATGTTTTGCATCATAATTTACATAAAATTAAGAAGTACCAATTATCCTTATCCAAGCAGGAAGCAAAGCTGAAGGGGGTTGTTTATTCATTTGACAAACACTTGCTGAGCACCTATTACGTGGCAGACTCCTTTCTGGGTTTGGGGATAGACTAGTGGGCAAGGCAAAGCTTCTCTTGAGCTGGCATTCTAGTTGGAGGCAGGGAAGGATCTGTAGAGACAAGAGAAGGCAGATACAAGGAAAAGTGGATGGACTTTAGTCTGCTCCAACAACTTTCCTTTTTGCCACTGTCTCTAGGGTATGTTTTTCCCATGAGTTTCCCTGAGACACTATTCTCTGGCCCCGTTATAACCAGATTCAAAGGGATACCTTTGGTAAATAATAACTCTCTGATCCTAAGAGATGTGACAATTGGCTTTTCTTCTACTGGCTGTTTTTCACCCTTTACTCAACATGGGAAAGAAGAAAGACCTTGTACAGCTCAGACTCCTAGAATGCGCTTGCTTGAATTTAGCTAATTTTTTTTCTATAGCCTCCATCCACTGTCTTGGTTGTCAAAAGCAAAATTAATCTTTCTTTTCACAACCCTTCCGATATTTTGAGACATGTAACACATCCCTCCCAAACTTTCTCTTCTACATGTTACTTCTACTAGCTGTTTCTCTCCCTTCACTCAGTCATACAATAGATGCTCGATAAATAAATACCCAATAAAAGAACGCAGACTGCATCACCAAGGGTCATCTTATAAATCTTCCTCTGCAAGACGGAAGAGAAAAAAGATACAGTATTATCTTTCTAGGTCAGATGGGGCAGCGAAGCGGGACTGGTTGCCTTTCAATCCGTGTGCCTGTGAGTGTCTGTGACTTTCCAAGGACCAAGCCTTGCACTTCCCTCGGAGTCTCCCGTGGCATTGGATCTTCTGAATCCCCACTGTTTCCATCACAGAAGGGGTTCTTGGAAGTGAAACAGGCCTGTTAAAAAACTCTTTTTTTATGCAATGAAGGATGGAAGGAAATTGGAGAAAGTTCAAAGAAGAATAACAAGAATGATTAAGGGGCTGAGAGCATGATTTATGTTGAATGATTAAAAAGATTAAACATGCAGAACTTGGCCAATGCTACATACTTCGCTATAAAAAAAATCAAAATTAAGTGCCAAAGCTCTCAGCTCCCATGAAAAATACAAATTTGCATATAATTTGGCACAGAGCTCTACACGAAGTTCAGCAGAGCCGGCATCCACACGGTGCCAAAACCACCAGTCTGTTCGGTCAGCTTCAAGTACAGCCTGGTCACGTCGGGAAAAACGCGCCATCTGACCTCATAGACAATGGAATCACGTATGCCCACCCAGGGCCACGTCCACATATGCTGTATCCATAAAGTGTATAAAATACTATAACACATAATCATTTAACCAAGAGTCACAGATTGAAATCCCTACCTGGGGCAATCAGGTACCCAAAGGAGAGAAGTGGACTGAGCTTTGAGGGCACACGGCCTGTTGAAAGGAAGCCGCCCCACGGGTTCCAACTAATCGTTGCCACAAGGGGATTGTGGCCAAGAGTTGCCAGATCTTCTTGTCCATAAAATGAAACCAGTGGTTCAGGAATGCTTTCAGCAGCAAATAATGAAAAATCAACTCAAAGAGGAGGAGCTGGTGGAGCCAGGGCCCCAGAGTTGGGGATCTTCAGAGTGGAAAGTGGGAGTCATGGCACTAGAAGACGGAGGGGGAGCGGGATGGATGCGAGGAGGCCACCAAGGGGCACTGGTGAGAGTTTAACATCCTGATGGGTATATTAAAACATCTAAGGACTTAATTTTTTTTTTTAAAGTAAAGACTGCTAGAAAAGTCATTCTGTGAAAACCAGTTTGTCAGCTCTCATCAGCTTAACTTATTTGTTTCAGACCTAAAGAAACTGAGAGAAAAAGAAAGACCCGCAAAGGCATGGCATGTGGGCCATCGGAAGACGCGCTGAGTAGGAGCAGGGGCCTGAGAGAGGGTGTTTAGGTTCTTCTCTGATTTCGTTGTCTGGCTCAGTCACTTCTGGGCTCATTACTACTAATTTTTCTAGCTCCATGCATGTGTTGAACAAGGAGTCTGGACAACATGGCTTTAGGATTTTCTCGTGGCTCTCAGCCCTGTGCTGTATCAGAAGCTTCCTAAGGAAAACCCACTTCAGCATTTTATAATTATAAGCCCAACATGTGTAGACACAGAGGTACTACCCCCATACATTCATATGAAAGCTAAATTTATTTGGCATTTTTTGTTTGTTTATTTGCTTTTTGTAATTATTTGTCAAAGTTGGACACTTATATTGTGGTCGATGTGTTGAAATAATTTTAATGGGGAGCTGATGACTATGAAGGAAGAGAATTTTTAATAGGACTGTGTCGGTTTGTTGAGGTTGTGCACTGCACAATTCTAGGGGTTGCAGATGTGAACTCCACACTCCATGTGTGGCACTAGAGGAGATACCAGCCTGGCACTGCATGCCCAGAAACATCCGAGGAGCCCTGGTATGGGAATTCCGAGACACCACAGCTTCCAACGGGCTAAAACTCCACTGGCCAAATCACCAAGTTTCCTTGTAAATGAACGATGGCTTCTAAAGAGAGAGAGAATCAGAGAATTCTGGGGGGAAAATAATGGAAAATGGTTACAGCTTCAAGAGAGTGAAGAGTTTATTGCAACTGGTGGACACAACTTCGAGTGAAGAGAGCAGTTGTCATTTTCAGAAAAGGAGCATTTGGACTAAACACCCTGAAAAATTATGACAGCAAGAATTATGAATTATTCTGGGAAATACAGAATAAAGGAAGTGGTGGAAACGCCATCCCTGGAGCTGCTTGAAAGTCAACAGGATAAAGAACTAGAAAATCTGTTCTAGGAAAGACCCCTCCACTGGTTCCCCTGAGTCTGAGGGATGATATAATGGCTCTCCTCCAGCTCTAATTACTGAGACGCTTAGACTTTATGTATTTTCCAGAGTCTTATAATGTTGCCGTTAGACCGGCACTGCACCCCCTCCAAAAAGGGGGAAAAACAAACTCCAAACCCAAACTAGTGGCTCCAAGGAGCATGAAGGTTTCCCCAAATGGAAACCGTGCATCATACAATTCTCCAGTGTGAATGTCATCGTTCCCTGATGACAGTCTGCCAAGAGGACAGACATCATCCTTGTTTTACTTCATTTATCTGGTTTTCTTTTTCTGGTTTGTGTTAGTTTTAGGGGAGAAAAAGCAATGGGACTGCAAATCTCACAGCACTGGCTGAAAAAGATCCGCATTGTTTTTCTCCTTCTGCCCACTGATGTTTCACCAAGAAGCTGGGGGGAGGGGTGGTCTCTTAGTCACGAGACAGTGGGAGGAGGATTAGCGCACAACCACCCAGAAACGGAGACCTGCACATCTCCCATCTGAATGAAGGGCACGTGGGTTTCTCTGAGGCTCAAGAAAGGAAGAAATGGCTGGGTCCTCTCAGTAACGTGGGCTTAAGGAGTACGTGAGAATGAATGTTGGTCGTGGCGTGTGGAGGCTTTGACGACTGTTTTCATCTTTTTTCACACTCATCGTGGTGTTACCCATCTCCAGTTATGGACTGAGAGACGACAGTCCGTGAAGACCTAGGGAATGTGGAGGTTCTGTCTTTGTGACACACGAAGTCTAAGAAATGCCACTGTGGCCAGATGCTATCTCCACAGTGCAGAGGCCTCTTTCTGTGGCAGCAGCTCCAAGGGTGGCACAATCCAGAATCTTGTCTAGAATACAAAGAGATAACAGACACTTTCATGAAATCTGGATGCAACACTAACTGTAACCTGTCTTCTTGAGGAAAAAAAAAAAAAAAGCGGGTTGGGGGGGGTACCTAGTCTACCGTTGACCCAGTCGTGTCTGTGTTGTAGAAAAGGGTCACATTCCAGAGACCTTCGTTGGTTACCAACCGTGGAAAATTTTGGCTACATATTATAAAAGCTATAATTAGAAACCCACACTTTATAAATTTTCACAAGTGTTCTGTGTGCATGGTAATTTATAAATTCTTGGGTTTTTTTGTTTCTAATAAATATTCTTTTAGAGATTTCCAACTTTGTTTTGAAATGAAGGAAAACCCTCATTCTTGCGGATGAGGGCCGCAGAGCGCCCCTAGTGGTCAGAAATTCCATAATGAAAGCGCCAGGTACTGCTCCCAGCTCCAGGGCCAGCGACTCTAAAACGAATGGCTGCGGGTGGAGGGTGAATTGAAGGGCCAACTCAGTGCAGTTATGCCTGTTGATATTTTACTGCAAACACCTCTCCGTTATTGCTTCATTTAGAATCTGAGCTGGTACCACATCAGAAACTTTCACCTATATCTTGTCCTTTAAAATGGAAAAAAAAAAAAAACAAACACCATCACAAAACACTGGTATTTAATTGGGATTTTCAAAACTGGATGATTTTAAACTCAGTGTTGCCTGATCCTCAGCCCTCTCTGCCCTCCCACTCCCGCGCCCCTTCAGAAGCGTCTGGATGGCGTTTTCCCTCGGGATAATTTCTCCAGGCAACCTCCAGTCCTTACTCCACTGCCTCCGTCAATAAGCATGTTGCTTTGCTTCTAGTCTAGGGCCAAAGCCCGTATGTTAAAGTGATGGTGTCACAAAACGCCTGGTGATGTCATAAAGCACTGGGAGATCCTGGCAAAAGCAGCAATTCTCATTTTTACATCCCCGGGAAATTACTGGTACCCAGAGGGCCACCCCATCTTCTGTACATGCACCGGTTGTTGTAGAGTGAGGGCCTCGTTCACTCGGGGCATTTACATGTTTGGCAAATGTCTATAAAAGGCTGTGTAGAGAATCTAGATTTAAAGAGCCGAAGTTATTAAAATAGGGTGGGGTGAGCGAAAACATGCCAGTAAAAACAGACAACGTGGTTTTTTAATCCTTTCTGCAGGAATTCAGGCAAAGGGGGAATAAAATAATTCTATGGGGTCACTTGTAATTCAGCTTAAACTAAACTCAGGAAACTGAATAATATTTCTCAGAAGGCTGATTTATGTACTTAACGCAACTCAGTCCCAGGTGGCACGGGAAGTAATGCAACTTCGAATGGTGTCCTAGCCTGCGTGCGCAAATGGGCTGCCTAAATCCATGTCTAACTTTTCTTTAAAGCATTTCGGAGTCAGTTCTCCTGGGACTTGAAGCCCTCGGTTCTCTCTTTGCAGGGCCAACTGCAATAAGAGAAGTCCGGGTACCTAGGTAGACGCCACATGATGAACCAATAGTGGTCCAAAGTTATCTGTGACTCATTTCATTGGAAACTTGAACACATTTTCTGTAAAGAAACAGGTAGACACAGGCTGGCTCCCTGGCTCTCATAATCTTCCGAAGTCTAAACCAAACATGGGTCAGATCCCCTCTGCTACATAAAAACTAGAGAACAGTCACATAATCACCCAAATCTGGGGTTGGGGGGATGGGGGAGGGAATCTGATTTAACAAAATTCTTTTCTTTTTCATTCATTCTTTCTGTTCTCCCTCCATTTGGCCCTTAATTAAAAGAGGATAAGAGATAAGTGGACATTTGGTGAACATCCCGATTGAGGTATTTCAACATTTTCAAAGACTTGAGAGATGAAGAGCGCAGTTTATTTCCTCTAAATAATTCTGCATCACAATGCATAATTTCTCTTTGCTGATGGAGCAAATAGCAAGCAAATGGCACAGCAGAGAGAGGAAAAGGAAATCTCCAACTTCGATGGGAAGGAGGCCCTTTCAGGGTAGCTATTGTTGTTGCTAAGTCAGGATATCTTGGCACTGAGTGTTTTAAAGTCAGATTTACTTGGAACCATCGAGCTTCATTTCGCATCTTGGTTCCAAAGACCTCACTCACCCAGCTCTCTATTAGGCATGCTAATAAAACGTAAAATAAAAACATCTCTGGCAACCTGTGGCTCTTTCCTCTCAAAGTGCCCTGGAGTGGTGGTACAGAGTGGAACTAACACATCCCAAATGTAGGTAGTCAGAGGGAGAAGGAAGAGAAACAAAGGGCCTGGATACTTCACATAGTGGATAAGAAGACCTTGATAACCAAGTCCACTGCATTGGGGATTTTCCTGTTTCCTTCTGGAAGGAGGCAAGGAACTGAATGAAGCGCTTATCTAAGAAATGTCAGAGCTCTTTAGCGATGTTATTACAAGGATATCGGTAAAGTGAAGATTTTGGCAGGTACAGATGGGATCATGTTTGCTGTGAATGAGTTTCCTTGCTACATGTTAATCGGTACTTTTCTAGTATCAGGCTCTTAAGGAGTTCTGATAAAGTCCTATCAGAAACTCTCCATTCACACTTTCCTTCGCATACATTATAAGGAATTCCACATCCCCACTGGGACGCGGATGGATCTAAATGATTTCAGTTGAATGTTTGGGAGAAATCACTAAAGCAGGAATCATAGCAGGAGAAAGTCTGGCTAAGAAAGAAACTTTGGAACATTCCACGTGGGGCTATGGGATGGGGTGATGGATGGTTTCTAACAGGTTACACCCAACTTCAAGTGAGAAATCATTTGAAAGAGCCTCAGCTGGGCTTCACAGGCCCCGAGTGAGAGAGAATGATGGAGTCAGAAATATATCCACATGAAAAAAAGTTTAATTCAGAGGGAGAGGACTCTAAGAGGGTCTAGATAAAGCAGTTTGGTGTTTCAGAAGAAAACATACCATTTCCAGGAGGTCTTAAATCTTGGCCCACTGAGAAAATGTTAAAAATCTCCTCTTTCCTCATTTAAGCCAGAGCAATCTTCTAGTATATAAATAATTTAAACTCAAAAGATAAAAAGAAAACCCTTACATCAGAGTTACTCTTACAGTAATAGACAAGAAGCCATCTTCTTCCCCATAATAATAAAATTGGGGTAGCAGGTCCCGGCATCTGGAAAGCATGTCACAGCGCCAGCACCAGGGCGGTCACAGATGAAGTCAGATTTTTAAAGTATGCAGGTCAAGGGCAGAGCACAGAGCACGTGATCAAGAACAAATGTAAAGGACATGAAATTGGGGAAGTACAGAATCGGGAGGGTGGCCCAGAGGGAGGGAGACGTTATTGGAAAATGTGACAGCTGGGAATTAGTGATGAACACATAACAGAGGACAAGGGAAAGGAAGAGAATAGCACTGAGGGTGGGTGGCAGGCAGGAGATGACCTATTCTGTCCCCACGGAGTTCGTTCTTCTCTAGTAAAGACGATTGTCTTCAAACTAGAATGAATAAAACAAACCTGGTGAAGAAGAAACTGATGCCTCAAATAGGCGAGCTACTCCAAGAGCCTTCTCACTTCTAAACTACATCGAAAGCTTTGGGTCCAGATACATCGTATCCCAAGATATTGAGAGAACGTTGCAGATGAGACTTCTTTAAAAATTATTTTTATTCTGGAATAATTATAGTTCATAGGAAGGCACCAAGAAATGCACAGAGAGGGCTTGGGCACAACTTAGTCTCCTCTAATGTTTGCAGATGGGAATTTAAGACCACTGACCACATTTCTGAGAATTCATGGAGAATGAGAATGGTACCAGAAGACTGACAGGTGGAGAAATAATTTTAGAATTGTCAAAAGTGGCAGGAAGGTAATTTCTGACCTCTGTCATTTGGTGAGCTTGTAATGGATCTCTTGCGAAATTCTAGGAATGCTTGATTAATGTTTTGAGTATTTGCAAAGCAGCGATTATAGGAATAACACTAAAAACAAGATGGGAAATTTCTTTTTTCTTCTTCTTCCTTTTTCTTTTGGAGAGAACTTCTTGACTGATAAACCAAGAGACTTTTTGCCTTCCATGTATCTGTTTTCTCCCCAGCTTTTTGAAAAGTTCTTCCATTGTATGTCTGTTGACAAATTGGTTTTAACTGTAATGTAGAAAGAGGAGCCCATCGCTGGTACTGAGAGATCAATGAATCAGCATCAAAGTGGAAGGTGTTTCTGATGGCATGTCACAGGGCTTTGGCATGAGCTTGGAGGACTGAATAAAAACTCAAAAATCACTTCAGCTATTGGAAGAATAGGGGGAAACCACCAAAGTGAATTTTGATCATTTTTAAAGAATCAAACTATAAAAATATAGGATGTGAGAAACATATTTTAATAGCAACACTTCTGAAAAGACTTTGAAGTTCTAGTTGGCGTGCCAGTAGGAATGACATGTGGGAAAAACCAGAGTAATTTTAAGACATTATGCGTCTAACACAAAAGATGATAGAGTCACACTATACTTTCCATGGTCAAAACCTACTTGGAATATTGTGGTTATCTGTAGGTCCCAATTTTAAATAGGACATTGACAAGTCATTACTCATTCAAGTAATGAAGAAGCTGAGTTTGCCATAGCTGTCTTCATAGATGGGGAGGGATAGCATGTGGAAGAGGATTAAATTAATTTTCCATTGCCCAAGGTATGGAAACAGTGTCAAGATATGGAAGACGCAGTAAGTAAACTTAAATTAATAAAACAAAAATATTTTACTAATCAAGAACAGGGATTTTAGTAGGTCAGTCAATTTGAGCATTTGAAGCCTAAGGGGGAGATCTTAAAGGAAGATATAAGTTTGGGAATCAACAGCCTGTAGTTTGAATGAGATAACCAGAGAGAGAGACAGAGCAGGCATTCATTTCCTGGGATTCTTTGCATGGTAGAGTGTTCTCTCCATGACTTCATGGAAGTCAAATTTTGTTTGTACATGCACTTCTCTGGATAGATTGGTCTGTAAGAGTTCACAGATTCCAAA